GTTGCTTAAGAAACAGACATTGCTAAATGTCATCGCTGTTTGTTGCAGGTGTTGACTAGCGGACAATGGATGCTCCTCCCACTGTCGTCGCGTGAAACATCAGCGCGTGAAACGGCTTTTATGAAAAGCAGTCAAAACTGACTTCAAAGTTAAATGTTCATCCGCTGAAGCCACCGACTGCAGAAAAATAAACCTATGGTGGCTGAAGGTGCGAAAAGCCTGTGCTTCCGATGCGGTTGCTTACTTTGTTGTGCAGCTATTGTTGCCACGTTGAAAGCTAATAACCAAGACTAGCTGCAGAACTGGCAGATAATTTGTACAGACAGAGCGTCGTGGTTAAACGCCATGTCTTCCTGTAGAAAAGCGGAAAGTGTCTGACACTGGCCAAAGCATTTTGGCCTCTCGCTGTACCTGACAACAGCCATTAACGGGCATATTCCATATTTGAAGATATTGAAGAAAGCATCAGATACGATGAAATAAGCTCTCTTCTAATATTGGTATAATTCAAAGTGGAAAAGGCTGCTCCAGACAACACATTTTCTCTGTTTAGTGAACATGCTCCTCAATACGCCATTGCTTGATTACGTCACGGTACCTTGCGCAACGTTAATTGAGAGCCAATTGATGGCTGCTATATCCAAAACTTGTGCTCACGAACGGTAGATATGAACGTCTCGGCAATCATGTTTTTCTTGACCTTGATAGCCGCATGGCCTGTGTAATAACGATATTTAAATGACGTTATCATGACGTCACGAATGCCTGAGTGACCTTGAAAAAGTCTGTCCGAAATAGTCTGCACAAACTGGCGGGCGAATAGCTCAGAAACTAGAAGGATTTAGGTCTTAAGAAAGGCAAGGCTGTGAACTGCACCGATTGATTTTCAAGCTCGTTATTTCAGTTCAAACCCCCAGTTAAAAGTGGAACGTTCCCTTTAAGGCGAGGTTGCACACATACCTTCCTTTTTCATGCGGACAATTGGAGGACTGTTCTCGAAATCGCGGCAGTGTTACAACTATGCTTACATCGACGGGCTTCCGCATGCAGCGGCGATTATGCGCGACAGCGTTGCGTATGAGATTTGGTTCCGTGACTGGCCTGAAATAAGGCGGAGTGCCCAGTTAGGTGCGATGGTTATCTTTTATTTGGGTGATAATGTGCTCCGTCGAGGCATTAGGAATGACTGGTAGATTTCTGCTCCTGGTCATGACCGTCCAGTGCTCGCGTTGCTCCGGCTCTCTGTTTTCTTTTTTCTTTTGTTCTGTCTTGTCTACCGATGACATATTTATGTCAATATAAATACACTATGCAATATAAATATAACAAATATTTATGTTTTTGTGCATAAGAATTTACACATAACTACATTGTATGGATATACCTCCGCGTTCGGTCAGCTGAAAATTCTTCAAAAAAACTGTCACGCCGTCACACCTCACAGTCGCAGCAGAACGCCATCGGGTGGCAGTTATGGCGAACAGAGCCGGAAGCAATCACCGACCTGAGACACCTGCACGCACCACGCAGCCAAGATGTGCAGGTGCATCTTTGTATTCACTACCACCCGCATTCGCGAACAGTGGGCCGTGAACCGCCACACACGTGCGCGTAATATTTTACCTCATCACGCGGGCCCGTCAGCCGGCTGGCCCTCACCATCATGGCGGCCGGTGAGTCACTTCAATATGGCAGCCCATCTGGCAGCCGACGCCCGTGTAACTCGGGCGCCCACCGGCGCCATAACAATCACGAGCCGTCATTCCCGGGCCCGGCCGGCGCCCAACTACCACGAATCCTAATTAAGACGTGTAAAAGTCGTGAGCCGAGATTTATAATTGGAAGCTAATTGAATTAATGTTTTAATTTGAGCCGGCTGAGTTATCAGGCGCGCTGCACCGGAGACCGGCGGTGCCCCGGGGCACCGGAGACTACGGGCGCACCGTCTGCAGGGCCGCATGCAATGCTCGGCCAGCCGCCGGTTAGTGTCGACCTGATGGGAATATTCCACGGCCGTTATGGCCGGGAAATTAATTCGGAATCAATGAAGCCGTCAGAAGTGACGCGAGGAGGGCGAGGTGGGAGGATGAGCGGGGCCGGCCCACGGCGCTGCGGGTCAGAAGGTCACTGTCCTAGAGCCGGGACTGCGGGCGAGGTTGATGCCGCTCCACTCCCATCCCGGGTAATCTCACAGGGCTTGCACGGTGGTTGGTACGCTGGCCACGCGCGGGTGGCAACGGCGTTCCGGCAGGCATCCCGAGTGCGGCGGCGTGCTGAAATCGTGGGCGTGAATGTGCCTTCGAAATGCGTTTGATAGAGGATGGAGTGCGGCCAGGGTCCAGGGCTGTTGAGCATTTGAACCCTTTTCACGCTGCCATCATCAGACTTGGACCGAATTTAGTACTAATTCTGAAGTGCATGACAATTTCAAGGAGCAGGAGCGAAACTTCTCGGCCCTACTCCCGGCCAAGGCTATGAAATGAAACCTTATTGTCACTTCTGGAGCGGCTTTATTTCGCCATTAAGAACCCATCGTTTCACACTTGTTGTGCGTTATAACTTGGCCCTGTGGGACGAAGTCCACATCCATAAAATGTCCAATTGGCTCCGGGCGACGAACCAAAGCATTGCTGTAGTGAAGCTTACCGGCCATTTCGATAAGCTTGATGACGTACAATGGGTGTTGCCACTGCTCATCCTATTTGATGGGCATTTTAGGTGAAGGATCGAGCAAGGTCCCTGTCTAATGATGCTTAGCGTAGAAAGTGATATCAAGGGGTTTCGTACCGCAGGCACTCCAGCAGGGACAGCCGTGCAGCAGCGCAACAGGCTTTCCAGCAGGGACCAGTCGTGCGGCAGCGCAACAGGCGCTCCAGTAGGGACCAGCCGTGCATTAGCGCAGCAGGCACTCCAGCAGGGGCCAACCGTGTAGCAGCGCAGCCACGGGTTGCACTTTGTGTGGGGCAGGTGTGGAGAGCTCTATGCCATCTTGGAAGTCGGTGCGGTAAATCCTCACCAATTTCTAAATGCACCTGTTATTTGTTTAAAATGCCGTTCTCTGCACCATTTCCACTATTCAAAGTTTTACAGTGTAAGGCAGAGGGTACATTGCAAGCAGCGTGAAAATGCATGAATCTATATTTTTCCCCGGATTAGGCATTTTCTTTTCAACTGCTAAGCACCCCACGCCCAAAAGTGATCGCAAATTCCCTACATGTTTTTAATACCCACCCTATACAGCACGGTACGCCACAAATGACAACATATGCTTGTTTTAGTGTGATTTTAGTAGCTATTGTGGTTTGGTTGGAAATTGCGGAGAATGTCGTTCAAAATAAATAGCACGTGCGGCTAGAGATGTGTGGGCATTGTCCATTGGTACGGGTTCTCCACGCAAACTTCTTGGGTCTGCTGCAACTCACACCAACTTCAAAACCGTTCGTGCACTTCTGGGCGCAGCAGCCACTCCAGCGCGGACACTCCGCCGTGCAGCAGCGCAGCAGCCACTCCCGCGCGGACACTCCGTCGTGCAGCAGCGCAGCAGCCACTCCCGCGCGGACACTCCGCCGTGCAGCAGCGCAGCAGCCACTCCAGCGCGGACACTCCGCCGTGCAGCAGCGCAGCAGCCACTCCCGCGCGTGCAGAGTGGACTTTCCGACGGCCGTTCGACATCTTAATTAACAATTACATCCTGCCGCGGGGCGGCTCGCGTGCTGCCCTGTCCCGCCGTGTCATTGGCCGGGCCGTAATGACAGAGCGCTCGCGGCCGGTCAGCGACGTACCCCCGGCCGCCCCCTGTTGACACAGCCGCCGTCGACGAAAATGGCGCCGCCGCCGCGCCGGCATTGATTTAAGTGGGCCACGCATTGGTGTATCGCTGTCACGCGGCCGGCGAAGATGGTGGCGGTTGTTTACGCGGCGGGGCGGAATTGGGGCGGTGTGAGCGGCCCCGTCGGCCGGCCTGCCCCTGTTTACGCCGGGGAAGCCGGACTGGGCGGCGGAGGTGGGCTATTTCCCGATGCTGAGGGTTTGAGTGGCTGTTTGGGTTTGCGGCGTGGTGAAAATCAATTTGTTATGGGGAGGGTGGACGTTCCGCGTTCGATTTATTATAATTTGAGACGCTACGTGTCGGCATCAAACGAGCTAAGGTCTTCCTTCGCGTCGAGAAAAAGAATCGCCAACCGCAGCTTGGGCCGCTCACACTTTGGCTGTCGTGTATGTTCGGTATTCGGCGTTCAAGTCATCAGCACCGAGCGATTTGGTCGGACCCTCACAGCCTTCCGGCGTCACGGCATGCCTTGCACGGCGCGGTTTGCTCGTGCACGGGTCCAAAGTTCCGTCGCCCGGGGGATGATGACGTCTGCGAGTGACGTGCTCTTCTCACAGACGTGCTTCCCTACAGACTGACGTGTGTGACCTGCGGAGTCAGTAACGCTCAGGGTCCTGTGATCTGTATACCAGCCCACGGTGAGAATTCAGTCCTAGCGCGTGACGTCACTGGGATATTTGATGCGAGCGTGGGCGTGTAAATCTATGAAAGTGGTCATGCCTAAAATGTCACGTGCACTCCGCCAAGTTCACCCTGCATCGTTGAATTTAATTCACCGACGTTTTCCTTGTCTTGCTCCATGTGCGTCACAGAAGCGGGACACTTTTGAGGACGGCGTGGCTTTACCTGGGTTCTAAAGCCTTGCTCTTACCTGTTCTAGAGCCTCGGGAATGTTGTACGGTGCGACTGTGGCCTTGCCATGCATCACTGGCGTGGGCGTTTTGCACCTAATGGGTATATGACGACCTCACAGCCCAGCAGACAACCGAATGGGCACAATTAATTTATTCGATGAACACATACGCCGAATTTTGAAATAACCGTATGGCTCAAGCTACAACAACGCTAACGCACCATTATTTACCACGGTCCATATCATATTCTCTAAACGCCCGAACCACCGCGTTAAAACCAATCCCATCGTCAAATACAAGGTAACTCCTCGCTGGGCTACCGTGTTAGATTGGGTAAAGCTATATTTCACGTGGATGTACCATTCAAAGTTACAACTATCACTCGCATATGCAGTCGTACGTATCTCACTGTTAGTCCCGCATATGGCTGCGCAAAAGAGCCAACCCTCCAAATGACTGCACGGTATCCTGATATGTTAGAAAACTCAACCAACAGAGAGTCGTAGGAACGTGGTTGTTGGGTGGCAATGCAGCAGAACGCTAGTAACAAAATGCGATCAAATCTATCGGATGCTAAGAGGTGGTAGACATGATATCAGGAACTGACTTCTGACCTCTGTGGCGCCGCAGTGACACCCTATCTGTCACGTCGTCCGTCACGCGTCCGTCACGCCACACCATACATAATGAGGCAACCCCACGAATAATTGATAAGACAGCTTCACACTGCGAAGTTCGTGATTTAAAGAAAATAACAATAACGAGGCTGGACATGTACTTAACTTTGGTTCGTCTGGGCCTAGCTACCTTCTCGCTGGGCCGCCACATCCTCCGTTCCGATCGGGTCTCCCGCCGTACCTTCATCGGTCCCTCCAGCAGGACCTCCCGCAGCGCCTCCAGCAAGGTCTGCAGCAACATCTTCAACGGAACCTCCAGCAAGGCCTCCAGCAAAGCATCCAGCAGGGCTTCCAACAGGGCCTGCAGCATGATCTGCAGCAGGTGTGTCCTGGGCTTCCACTGGGTCCGGTCGTCGCTCACCCAGCAAGCTCTCGATGCTGAAGAGGGTCGCCTTGCGCGCCGGCGCCGGCGCCGGCAGGCTCAGCGAATCGCTGGAAGCGTCCTCGGTGGACACGACGTCGATCTCCGGTTCGTCGCGCCGCTGCCGGCCTTCCCACTCGGCTCGCAGCGTCGTCAGCTCCACGTGGATGCCCTTCTGGGCGAGCTTGCGCTGCTGCCGCTCCAGCTGCTTTATCAGCTTGCGCTCGCGCTTGTCCTGCTCCTTTCGCTCCAGCTCCTCCTGCCAACGAAAATGGGTGTTGTGCGCGCACGGCTGGGTGGGGACAGATGGGGCAACTTAAAGCGCAAGCAGTGCGCCACTCAGCTCAAGAATGTGTACCTGGCGCAGCACCTGCTACAGGAATTGCATTTCAGAGGGGTAGAAAACTCAAGCGCAAGCGAACGCTGTTGGAGAATCAGCGATTTCAATTGCAGGGAGACGCCGTGGGCAATCGTTAACATGAGTGTGTCCAGTGTCCAGTTTCCAGTGTCCAGTGTCCAGTGTCCAGTGTCCAGTGTCCAGTGTCCAGTGTCCAGTGTCCAATGTCCAGCGTCCAGTGTCCAGTGTCCAGGCATGACTCGCGCGCATGCGCCGTGAACGCGCTGGACCTTCATGCGCCTTCTCGCGCATCGGACGATTGGGGTAGCGTGAGGTGGACAGCGAAGGCAGCGGTGATTTGTGTGAGTTGGACGGTGAGCGCGGTGCCTCGGCGGGTGAGCTCACCGGTGAGATGGGGTCGCCGCTGCAGGTCTGCGGGTGCGCGTTGTGCGCCGGCCGGCCCGGTCCCTTTTTCGTGTGCTCCTTCTTGCGCCATTTGGCGCGTCGGTTCTGGAACCAGACCTGCGGCGAGCGGCGGCGCGTCACACACAAAAACGGCGCAGCGCTCTCGAGAAGATGGCGACCCGGCTGGAAGACCTGATTAGAAGAGTCGATTAGAGGGTCCGATTAGGAAAGATCACAGCCTCTGATAGCGTCGCGGACTCTAGGTGAAAATTGCACCGTAATAGTGCCGAATGTTATCTTTTAATTGTCCTGAGCTCGTTACGCTATTACGTCAGGCGATGTGATTCCCTATTGGGAAACGCAGCAGAAGCGCAGCGCAGGTTCCGGGTGGACTGCAAATGCGTGCCAGGCGGGAACAGCGAGGTTCGTAGCCTGGGACCGAACTCTGATGTCCCGCGCCTTTTACTTTGACTCTAATACATCTGCAGTTCGAAAGGCGCAGACGCTTCATGCATCAGCTACGGCAGCATGTCATCCCCCCCCCCCCCCCCCCATAGACTGCGACTGAGAGAACTAACCTGGCGAGAAAAGAGTATCGCTAACAACAAAGGTGTAAAAACATGTCTCTAGTACACACATGATAGTGCTGAAAACCGTCCCGTCGTTTCTCACAGCTCTCCAGAGAGCTAACCTGAGTGAGTGACCTGGGCGAAATACCCCGCCCCCCTCCTGCGACACTCGCCACCGACTCGAGCAGCGCTAATCACCGCCTGTACGACCTGAGCGCCTGGCCTGGGTCGCGTAACGTGTCGCTGTGATCCACAGTCGGTATCATCGCCACACTGCTCTCCGTGAGCACCAGTCCCATGGCCGGCGTGAGGCAGTCGGCTCGCGCTCACCGCCACCCTGCTCTACGTGAGCCCCAGTCCCATGGCCAGCGCGAGGCAGTCGGCGTCACTCACCGCCACCCTGCTCTCAGTGAGCCCCAGTCTCATAGCCAGCGCGAGGCAGTCGGCGCCACTCACCGCCACCCTGCTCCACGTGAGCCCCAGTCTCATAGCCAGCGCGAGGCAGTCGGCGCCACTCACCGCCACCCTGCTCTCCGTGAGCCCCAGTCTCATGGCCAGCGCCTCCCGCATGAAGACGTCCGGGTAGTGGCCCGACTGGAAGGCACGCTCCAGCTCCTCCAGCTGCCAGCTGTTGAAGTTGGTGCGCGACCGGCGCCGCTTCGACGCCGCGTCCTCGCCGTCCTCAAACTCTGCCGACAGAGCGCGGGGTTAGGCGGGCCGTGGTCAGGGGCGGGGGGAGGGGGCAACGGCACGCAGCGGGATAGAGGCCGAGCCTCAGACTCGTACACAATTACGAGACCTGTCAGCACAATCAAGCACGATCCACCCACTGCAAATGGCCGTTGTCGAACTGATGTGGGTGAAGCATAATGACTGCCACATGATAAGCAACAACGCAGAGTTCAAAGCATTAGCTTGTTGATATCTTGACAATCAAGCGATTCATACAATGCATTATGGCTCATGTGCGATCCACTTATTAATTTCGAAGAAGGGTGTGGCTGTTCTCTGCAATCTTGTGCTGCGTTGGAGCTACGTTCGCCCACACGAAATTTCTCACCTTTGAAAAATTGACGTAGAAATCGTCAGTCGATCATTATCCCCCGCGCGCCAAGACAGCAATTTTCCCTTACTCCTCACACTTTTTATTCCACGTGTTCAAAGATCAGTTGTAATGGGCAGAGAGGGTGCCGCCAAACTTGCTGTTTCATTTTTTGTTTTGTGCATCATGCACATTACCGTTCAGCGACAAAATGTGCGGTTAATTTAGAGAAATGGATCAATCAGGGCGAGGAAAGGACCCCGAGGTTTAAGGAAAGTTGGGTGCTTTCTTCGTAGGTCAGTTGCAAATAAAGCTACTTTCGTCGCTCAAGTATTCATAACATTCGGATCGCGACAAATGCTATTGTCTTTTAATGTGAGTGTGTGTGTGTAGGAGGGGGAGGGGCAAATGTCTTGGCACGGAAGTAAAACGACGGGTAAAAAACCAGAGCAACGTGATTGTCCAGCAATGGGCAAGCGAAGGGAGCAATGAGCTTACTGCAAGCGAACAAGCAGCAAGCCATGGAAGCGTTCCATATAGGGTTAACGGTTGTTTCTGTCCTGGTGTCCAAACGATGTGAATTTATTGCATGAAGGGATGCTTTCCCGCTCTGCAGCTGGTATGTGGGAGGCGGTGCCTCTCGCTGGTCATTGCACGGTTTGGTATTCCGTGCAACACCACCAACATGTGCTATGAGTCACGGGCTTTGACTTTCCCCAGCGTTGTTGCACGGGTGGAACGCATGGAAGACGTCACCACATCACCATTGTCAGGTCATCACAACGTCGTCAGCAATCCATCGCAACGGCATCGTCACGTCATCAAAACGCCATCGTCACGTCACCACAAAGGAGACGTTCATTTGCATCGAAAAATAGACGTAGATATGCGGCGCAACATGAGCTTCGCCAAGAGCCCAAAGTTCAGAGAACATTGCCGCTTCTGTAATGCCTTTCTTTTTGTGCAGAAGCATTATCATGGTGCTAGGTTTCGAAAAAATTCGGGGACGGAAAGCTTCCTGTTTTGTCCCTTGCGCCTTACCCTTGCCCCGCCTCCGCCCCCCCCCCCCCCCGCCTCTGCCCCTGCATGAAAGCGTGACCAAAGCCATATGCAATACACAAATGGCTATGCTCGCGCCCTGCGGCAATGGGGCGGCGAGTGGGGTGAACTCTCTGAACCGTACTACGAAGGACGTTGCAACACGATCCAGAGCGGCGCTGGCCGAGGGGTGCGACTGACACCACGTGGGGGGCGGCGCCGCCGGTGTCAGTCAGCGCGGCCGAAATCGGAGCGCCGCCGGGGTTTTTGTTCTGGCTCATGATAGCTTTCTGTGCTCGCAGTTCGTGGATTCATTTTTGAACTTTGGGTGTAGTTTAGTTGCAGGTTCGGAGTCATTTCAGGAGTTCATATCGCCTTTTGAAGTGGATTTTGAGTTCCGTTGCGCTTCGACAGATAGCACGAAATCACGGACCCCCGGCAGCGAAATCTTCGCGCCACTGCACCCTCTGGGAACGAAGCATGTGTCAGTTAGCCCCCCCCCCCCCCCACAAACACACTCTGAAAAGCTAGGTCGCCCTCTGACAACGAAGTATTTGTTATCTTCCTTCCCCATTTTCAAAAGCTAAGTCAGCCTCTGGGTGATAAGATCACCCTGGATGCAAAAGCTTGACGGCTGGAGCTTATTTCACATCACAAAACGAATTGTCATACACGCTGAAATTGTTTCTATTTGAGATGAGGGTTCAAAACTTGCTCCTACCATTAGCCCTGAAGGCAAATTCGGCAAACAATCGGCTGCCGCAGCCTCCTGAGCAATCGTACTGCTACTGAGGAAAACGGTCTTAGTTGCAAAAAGCACGATTCACAGCTCCTTGGTACTGGCTACTCACGGCAACCCAACCAGCCACCGTCGACCACCCAGCGATAACACGCCGTCCGTGGTCCCTGTGAGTCATTGGGGCCTTACGACGCTCTCAGCTGCTGAGGCTGTGTGGCGTCGCCTGCCTCTCACCCTGGCAGGAAGGGCGGGCGCCGCGGGGAATCGAACCCCGTACCTCTGGTTTCCCAGAAGCGCAATGGTCAACGCAGACGCGTTAACCACACCATCGGCACCCTCTGATCCCTGATCCAATCGCTGGCGCTACGCCCCTGCCACGGTCCGTGTCGCGCCGGTCAGCGTCCCACGGTGAGGTCAATGGCGCGGCAGGGCTCCGGCACAGTTAGTACCACCTCCCGCAGACCCAGCGGCACCCCCAGCGGCCCCCAGTGGCGCCCCCAGTGGCACCCCCAGCGGCGATCGCAGCAGCGCGGTCTCGACGGGAAACGATTCGACACCGGTCGGGAGGGGGTGTCCTCCCGGGGCCGGCTCTGCGGGAAGTCCCATCAGCGAGCGTACCAGGCGGGGCCAATGCCAATGACCACTTGAGACCAATACCAGATGAGGTCAATGTCAGGTGAGGCCAATGCCAATGACCAAGTGAGGCCAATATCAGGTGAAGCCAATGCCAATGACCAAGTGAGGCCAATGCCAGGTGAAGCCAATGCCAATGACTAGGTGATGCCAAGGCCAATGCCAATGACCAGGTGAGGCCAATACGAGGTGACGCCAATACCAGGTGAGGCCAATGCCTGAGATGTCGAACACGGCCATAGCCATGGGATAAGCTTGTCTGGCACGGACACGCCCCCTATCCCTTCCCTCCGAGTGCATTCCGAAGAGCGATTTCTTTTCGGGCGAGCGTAGGCCACGGCCACGACGGTGAGTTTTCGCTTCGAGGGCGTTCTGGTCCCACATTCCACCCGTCTATGACACTACAGCCTGGAACCGTCCGAGGTCTCTGCACTTGCGAACTCGAAGTCAGCTGCCATGAGCCAGCAGGCTGGGAGCCTCATTCAAGGATTCCAGCCTCGGTCAGAGCCGCTAAATCAGCCCACAATTAAGCGGTTTGCCCCGGTGGGAGAGGGCAGCACTTCTTCACCGACGTCTCCGCAGCAGCCGTCTCTGAGCCCGCTACTGGCTAGAGCGCTATAACGTCGCCTCGTGACCGCCCGCTTGGATCAGGATAGCCGTGCTGGCCTGAGGTCATCGGGCTTGCAAGTGCAATCAACTCAAATGCAGTGGTTCTAATGACAGTTTATAACCGGGCGAGTACGTTTTGAAATCGGAGGCGTTTACAGTGGCATACATCAGCTACCCACTTGAATAGTCACTTTCAGCTATAGCCCCTGTGGTCAACCATGGTCTAGGCGTGGTCGTCACGATCAGCTGAAGTCACGACATTCACAACAGCTCATTAAATTGTGTGCCGCAAGTGGAATGATCACGGTTTGTACCAGAGTGGTAGTTTCTGCGGTCGGCAGGGTTGCAACGTCATCCAATGGCCGCCGACCGGAACGAAGGCACCACGATGACCCGAGGCCACCAGATTCACATCGCTCGACGAAATCGTGCGCCACGAGTCGAAAAGCGACGGCTCAAGGCGCTGGAGCCAGCAGTTTCCGAGATTGGAGACAGCGGCGCAGACGGCAGTGACGCGCTGCTGCCCGGCGGGCGGGCCACCTCCACCCCCTCCAGCGCGTGCCGACCCTCACCTCCCCACACGTCAATTACCGCGCACCGGGCGCGAACTCGGCGCGTAATCGTGCGGCAATGGCGGCGCAGTGGCGTGTCGGAATGCTTGCCGCGCCATCGCCAATCAATACGCCGCGGGCCGGCCGGCAAATTGAAACCGATACGATCGCGGCGCATGCAACGCGGCGCCATTGCCGCGTCGGCTCAGGCGTCCATCAGTGCGGCGCAGACCGTCTAAAATGATTACGGCCATATTTCATGGCGGTCGGGTAATGCCGGCTATTAGTCGGGCATTAGCCGACCATTTCTTGGCGGGCCTGAGTAGCTGCCGAGGCCATGGCCGGCAGACGGAGACGAGTACTGCCGGTCAGCGGCCAGCTGAGACGAGCGCTGCTGGTCAGTGAACAGATGAGACGAGCACTGCTGGTCAGAATCCAGCTGAGATAGTCACTGCTGGCCAGCGGCCAACTGAGACGAGCACTGCCGGTCAGCGGCCAGCTGAGACGAGCGCTGCTGGTCAGTGAGCAGCTGAGACGAGCACTGCTGGTCAGCAGCCAGCTGATGCAGTCGTTGCTGGCCAGCGGCCAACTGAGACGAGTACTGCTGGTCAGGGGCCAGCTGAGACGAGTACTGCTGGTCAGCGGGCAACTGAGACGAGCAGCGCTGGTCAGCAGCCAGCTGAGACGATTACTGCTGGTCAGCAGCCATCTGAGACGACCACTTCCAAGCCGCGGACATCTGAGACGAGCACTGCTGGTCAGCGGACAGCTGGGACATCAGCCAGCTAAGACGAACGTGACCGAACTGGGACGAATGGAACCAACGAGCGGGCAGATGGGACGAGCAGATCTGATCTTACAGTAGGCTACAAACGAAACGCCTGCAGCTCGATATCCGTTTCAAATTGGATCCGAGATCCGAAGGAAGTGTGCGCCGAGCTTCTTTGCACCCCGAGTGGAGACGTCAGGCGACGACGGAATTGTCTATGCAATGCCAGTAAGTGACAGGAAATGCACGCGTAATACATCGGCTTACAAAATATAAATGTTCGGAGAAGTAGATTTCAATGCACTAGGCTTCGGCTGGATAATAAGGCAAAGTTCTCCATGATATTCAAACCGCTTTTTCCCCATGTATTCGTCTTGCGCCCTCTTTGTTACGTATAGCGACAATTGCTGTTCATCGTCATAGCTGCAGCGGTTTCCAAAATTCGCAAATTGCTGACAATCAAACCTCAGCAACCGTTCACCAACTTAAAGAGAGCGTGTCTAGTGCTTTCGATTTTACAAATACACGCTGAAGGGAGTTTTGCAACCATCTATGGTTAATTTTGGTGCTAAATATACATTTGGGTCTTGCAACAGTTTTTATTTATCTATCTTTTTCGATCGCGTCGGTGGCTGTGCGTGAACAAATGCAATGTTAAACAATGAGCCAATCAGCGGACAGGAAAGGACGAATGCACTGGCTTATATGTGACGAGCAACTGCGTGCTAGTGACATTGCCATTATCTTGGTTGCTTCGGTCTCTTGCTTATAGGGAGAGCGGCGGCGGTATAGAGAAGTAAACGCTTGAAGATCCCTTGCGTAATTCGAAACGGACGAGAATTCGAGACGAGACGTAATACTCTGAACATGCCTGGTGTACCAGCGACATCACAGCAACAATTTTAGCGCATGTGCCTTGTTATTTCGAACGCTGAATTCGGTGCACGTGCATTCGGAATTCGGTCATTAAATTTAGAGCATAGGAATCTTAGCCGCCTATAGCCGCTGCCAAAGCAACGTAGAACAATCACATTTTGTTAGAGTCTAGTGCAGCCGATTGACACGACACAATACTTGTGCCTCATCTCAGTACAAAGTAGGTCAACATGAATTAAGCGCGGTGCGTATCAACTGACCAGCCTTACCATGCGGCCAACTCCATACACCTGCAACCCTCAGCTGAATGTAAGCAAAAAGAACAAAAAAAAAACAACAACAACATAATGGCCGCCGCCATCGCTGCGTCTGCAAGCTGCTGTCAGCGCTGACAAGCGACATTCTCGAAAAGCCATTGGCTACAGCTAACGATACCTGCTCAATGATGTCGATGCGTGCTATAGTGAATATTGCTTGGGGACTACCCGATAACTTCGTTCTTCCATACAAACCAAAGAAAATTTGGTGGCTGTGGCAATACCTCGTCAGTTGGAGGCAAATTGATAGAAGCCAATAACACCAAATTATTTTAATCGAAATTCCCTTCCATCCTTCGTGCACTGTTAAAAAATCCCAGCTTGACTAGACACGCTCCCTTTAAAAAGATCCCAATGGGGTGAACAGAATAGAAAACTACAGACCCCGGGGCCAGGGACACAGTCCTAAAAAATGCCACTCAGTTGCCGGAAGCACGTTGCGGCATTTTGCCTATCGATAGCAGTCGTATTGGCCTTTACGTTGGTGATATTGCTACAGCCGGTGATTCGTCCACAGTGGTTGACACATCCAGCGCGTCTGAGGCGCTGGAACAGGTGGATTATGGGCCACCGACGGAGTCCGCATTTCTCTTCAAGAGACAAGACACTCTCCAGGGCAGCCATGACGTGATCATCACAGCCCGTTAGCGAGCTGCACGCTACGCTCCCGGCGGCCGAGGCAGAATCACTCGATATTCGAGCATGCTCCGAAGGCCGTGTTTGAGGTTAGACGACAGGTCGCCCTGGTTCGAACGTCGCCCCAGCGCCCGTTCATTGTCGGCATCGCCATGGGGTTTGTGACTAACGAGGTCGGCTTCATAACTCGGCTGGGCGCAGTGCCCCGCGGGCATCAAAGCACGTGCAGGACTTGTGCTGTCGGCGAAAAATGACGGACGGGCACGCGCACTGGCAGACATGGGAGAACAGGCGTGGAGAAGCAACGCGAAGCGTTCCACAGATCACGTATCAACTGTATGAATATATTACGTGGTTGTTTGAGCGCATTTCGACCTGAATCTGCCCTGCGTGAAAGAACTTAGAGGCAAAACGTTGGTACAGAAGCCCACGCAGCAGCTAGCCCCATCCCTGGTCAAGCGTGCAAAAACTGCATCTGGTAAAATAGAATAAGTTGGACACCTTACATCATCCTAACATGATAGAGGTGGCATAACCGCACGCTGCATCATGCCACTCAACGTCTCAACTCGTCAGCCGTCGGTATTAGGCACGATGTGCCAACAAATAAAGTTAAGGAAGCAGGTTGGTGTTCAGTTTGGACATTTGACACCAATGGCTGCGATCGCCCACGAAGAGCACATGAAATCCGTCACGTGGGACAGCAATCACGATGCGGTTTGGCGTTCCACGCAGATGAAAACCGCGGACGCGATGCGCTACAACGCACGTGTCAAAAGTCAAATGATGTTTATTTCGAGTCGTTTGAACATGTCATGTTGTAAATTTGTCACATCATGAGTGTGTAAAAACCAGTTCGAGTGCAAAAAGTTACGCAAGCAATTTAACATCGGCTAGGCTCCACCAGTTGAGTTTCGCCACCGGCAAGCCTCGGTTTGTCGCAGCACGACAGCATGAAAACCTCAAATATTTCCGCATGAACGCTGATGTACGGCGTCGTACGCGTCAGGTGGCTGAAAATCGGCCAGAGTGTACAATGCCAACATCCTTTCCACCTGACTGGTCCGTGTCGTGGGTTAGGTCAAAGTCAGACCAAACCTGGCAGCCAGACAGGATCAGCTGATAGCCCCGGCAAATAAGCTCCGAGCTGCACGCGCATACAGTATAATGCACCAATAACCCATGATGCACCAATAACCCATAATGCACCATTAGTCCAGAAGAGGTATTCGGGTAGCTTTGTGACAATGTCCCATACTAATGTACTCTGGGTGAGCCGCGAACTTTGTTCCTGGAGCTGTTGGCGAAACCAGGGGCCTTCAGATGCCATACGATGCTTTTGTAAATCCGCGTCCACATTAAGTGCAAAACGGAGGACCCATGATAATTCGGAGCCATCGGTGCAAAGTTCGCCCATACCCCAACGTAAGCAGAAAGCCTCACCTACACTGGTGATGCTCTTAGCATTTATTTATTTCGTGTGGAGAACACTAGTGCAGTCGGTGTGCGAGTTAAAGGCTAATCCTGAACAAGACTTTAGCATCTGTGGACCGAGACTTGCCTTAACCGCAAAATGCGTCATAACTTTAACATGCGGCACGTACATCAAACTGGACGACAGGGAGTGCACCACTGCGCAGCAATCTGTGATCCGAGAAGGCATCCTTCACTCTTGGAGCGTATCAGCTGACAGGAAGCGGACATCAATTTTGCAATAAAATGCAGAAATTAGCGGTTTCACGAAAAATCACTCTTCCGACGAGAAGTGAGTACCAGACAACATGATAAGGGGGCGATGATAAATCACGCGGAAGTGCTCAAGCTTGGTGTGGGAGAATGATTGGTGATTGGTGGCTGTTCGCGCTGACTGGCATGAATCAGGTCAAGAAAGGACGACGAGGTATCACTAATTACATGCTCTTCCGTACTTGCATCGATCTGGTGTTCTGCAGTAATCATGCACTCCCACTCCTGACTTTTTGTGATCCCCGCGACGTGGCGTCATGCGTTCAGCAAATGCGCCATGCTAGAGCCGGTTTTCTGCCAGCGGGAGTAGATATGACCGAATTAGGTACAAAATATGAAATCCACGAGAACTAGAATAAGCATAAGCAAGACCCACAGTTTATGGTCAGGACTATCAAGATAGCAGGTGCATTTGTGTGTGGGAATGCTTTTATTCGTCCTTATGCACCTACTCATTTTACGTTAGCAAATTTAGTCCAACGGGACCCACGAGACATGGGCTTTGGCCTCATGTGATCATGCAGCACTGTAAACGTGAAATGACCAATGTGTACATGCTGAAAAGACAAAAAACGGAGGCAGGAGAAAATTTATCGGCGTTTTCGATACGCCCCACTTCATGGGCTTTGCTCATGTTTGTCCTGCTCTTCATGCATTGAAAATTTGGTACCGAACTAAGCCGCGGTCTAATGACGGCAGCGTGAAAAGAGCCTATACGTGCTATGCAGATGAACCATATGGGAGACATCTGCTCTGAAGGGTCTTTCCCTTGCCCCGTGGCCTGGCTGTGATAAGTTCATTCGCTTCTGTTATTAAGAATATGTAATGAATACCTTCGCGTGGTGCTAGATGAATTATGAGGTCTTGTAATTGTTTACACGATCTAATTAATAGGATGTGACATGATGACGAATACTTAATGTTTTACGCATAAATGAACCAACCGAAGGAGAACGTTATGAAAATAGCGACAAAATGCAGAAGGGCGAGCCAGCAGTAATGTAAACATGTGCTTGCTCAACATGTGTTTTAGCCGCTCAGTTCAACAAATGTCCCGCAACTGGTGCTCTTATGCGATCGTGTGCCTGATGGAGAGCTGCATCTGTGTCGACTGCAATTGCTGCTGAACAAGATCTAAGCCTGAAACCATACAACAAGAACATGTTTTTTTAGATTGTTTTAGCAAGGAGTTGGCTCTCAAAGCGCTGCATTTCATAACAAATATGTTGAAGTCACGAAGGAACTTTAGTATCGTAGCAACATGGACTACACGTTCCGCTTTCACGATGTAATAGGCCACATTCC